TCTCTAGTCTGTACTCACCCTGAAGATGTGAATTACAGCGCTTGGGAACTTCGTGTTTTCTTCTTCCTTGTGGTTATCAGCATATACCTAGATCCGCGGCGCACCTACAGTGATTTACTTGCATATATATACATATATATATACAACAAAATATATGTACAAAAATAAATGTTAAATGAATTATTTATGGTGCATTAGGGTACTGGTCACTTCAGACACAAAGATGGGCTATAAATAGCCTTCTTTATCTCCTCCATCTCACCCTGAGCCAGAGGGAAGGGTCATGGTAAATAACATTTGTTTGCTTATTTTCCATTTACTTTAAATAGATTTGAATTATTTGTTTATTTATTTAAAGTCATTTACTGAATATTCTATGTAAAAAATAAATGTTAAATTAATTATTTATAGGAGATACCGTAAGTATTATGATCAGTAAATATATGGTATTATGGCCACTTCAGACACAAAGACGGGATAAAAATAGCCCATCTCCCCTCTTACAGGCTGCCAATGGGAAGCGTCTTGGTAATAAATTTGATGTTTATTTTCATTGTCTAATTTATCATGTATCAAAGTAATATTACTAAAAATTGTGTAGGTAGTGGGCAGCTACCAAACAGGTAGATACCGCCTGGGAAGATATTGGAAGCATAATGTGTTGTCTAATGGTAGACCCTGCTGCCATATGGCATCCAAAGTGTGACCAAGTCCCAGGTTCAGCGTGACCTGACTTTCTGCCTCATTTACACACAATTGCAGTTTGAATTGTTCCTCTAACTTTGACAACACCACATATATACAGTATTACCCGCCCTAGCGGTTTCATATGAATTTTATCATATACAGTCTGGCGGTGCCTCGCCAGATGAACTTTCACTTAACGGATTTTTCACATATCGCGGTGAGTGTCCGGCTATTTTAGATTTGCCCCACCGCCACCGCCACCCTGCCTGACTGCCTGTTTTTGCCATAAAATTCATACAAATTACCGGCCCAGAATATAATTTACATTGCTGGAATTCTTATAATTTGATGATCATTTTGAATATAAACATCATATATTTTGCATTAGACATAAAATTTTTAGATAAAATGTTTAATCTGAGTAAGAATGTTATCTTTTGTGCAAAATATATGGCGTTTATATTCAAAATATTCCTGGTCTTACAAGGAATCCAGCAATGTCAATTATATTATCCTAACTTTAATCCGAGGTTATTATTTAATACAAAATGTTAAAATCTAAATTTTTCACCCACTCTTCTCTTGAAGGGATGATTGGTGGGGGAGGTTGGGACTGACCCCTTGGTTGGAAGAGGGGTTGGAAGAGGGGGCGCAAGGTGGGGTACTTTGATTGACAGATAGTGTCCTGAAGAATTTATTTTTTTTATTAACTGAAGATATTTGTTTTAGCTCATAAAATTCATACAAATTACCCGCCAGAATATAATTTACATTGCTGGAATTCTTATAATGTGGTGATCATTTTGAATATAAACATCATATATTTTGCATTAGACATACAAATTTTAGATAAAAAATTTTCTGAGTAACTATGTTATCTTTTGTGCAAAATATATGACATTTATATTCAAAATATTCCTGGTCTTACAAGGAATCCAGCAATGTGTTGTATTATCCTAACTTTAGTTTGAGTATTTTAGTGATTTTCTAAAAATTTCTCAAGAGGAAGGGAACCGGCAGTGTAGTGAATGAGAGGGAGAGTTGAGTCCATTATTTGAATGGACATTAACTTGGCGACTGTATTTCTCTATTTCTCTTAAATATTAATTGTGTGCATGTACCATCATAAAATTAGATGTTATTTTTACTACAACATAGTTATGTGTCTTCAAAAAGTGGGTTTGGGGTTGGGCGGTTTCTATTGGAATTAATCCCATATGTTCTGTTGTTCACTTAACAGATTTCATAACACGGGACCCTCTGGGTTCTATTGACCGTGTTAAGTGGGGTACAACTATACAGTATATTATTTCTCACTTTTGATCTTTTTTTACTTTTTGTATTTATTTATGGTTAGTTACTTAAAATAAGGCCAATTCACTTCAAGTAATGGCATCAAATATTACCAGCAGGTGTAGTGTAAACACTAGTGGCGTCATAAGCGTCTGTATTTAACTGTCAGTAGTTTCAAGAATTAATGCAGTCATTTACTGAATATTCTTGTAAAAAATAAATTTTAAATTAATTATTTATAGGAGATACCGGTAAGTATTATTATCAGTAAATACTCGATATGCATTACTGACACCTCCACGACTAAAATAGCCCAATCTAGTGAGTCACTTTCCTTTCTTGTCTCCTCACTGGCAAATGGGGAGGGTGTGTGATGATAGCTGTGTTTATTACAGGGGTATAATTCTCTTTTACGGTATGTTAGACAGGTTTATAATACATTTTTATTATTTTATTATACCGGTAATCTTAATTTGAATCCAGCTTGCCAAACGTAAGTTTCAGTATAAAATAATTAGTGGTAAGATCTTGTGAGTGGCTTACGATGTTTCCATCACCACTCTTGACACACTAAACCACAATATTTAAGAGGTAAGAATTTTATACTTGGTGGTTTAGACGACCCCCTAACTTTGGGCAGATTTTTTTAATGTTCAAATTCCGTCTTATAAGCCGAGATATACGGTATACCGTGGGGTATGCTATAACGAATCTAATTGGTTCTGGAACCTTGTTCATTATAGCATTAGTTCGTTATAGGATTAATCCGTTCCAGGCCCCCAAATACAACCACTTAACACTGAAAAATATAATATAAAATTGTAAATTTTTTAAAAAAGTGCATAAATATGCATTTAAACTCCTGAAATAAACAATATCATTAATACTTGTAATAAAAAACAATAAATTAGTAAAAAAAAATAAATAAATAAAAAAATAAAAAATAATGTTCGTTGTAGGAGTTTCGTTTGTTATAGCATTCTCAATTTTATAGGTAAAACCGTTCATTAGGAATATCCGTAGTAGAATCCGTTCATTAGAAACACTCCTTAAATCACTATATGTATCTAACATGTACACTAGAACTCTTAAATCACTACTGTAATGTGATACAGGTGATTAATTTTATCTCGTGCAAAATATATGACATTTACATTCAAATTATTCGCTGTCTTGCAAGGATTTCAGCAATGCAAAATATATTCTCCGAACTTTAGTCTGAGATAATATATAAAATAAACACTTTAAAGCCTAAAGAAAACACGAAACTTTTGTCTGGGAAGGCAGGGGTATGGAGGGAGGGAGGGAGGGAACCAGCAAGCGTGGGAAGAAGGGGGGGAGCAGGGGGGGAGCGGGAGGTGAGGTGACAGATAGTGTCTGGTGAAATATAATTTGTTTATTTACTCGAGATTTTTGTTTTTAGCTCATAAAATTCATAGAAATTACCCGGCCAGAATATAATTTACATTGCTGGAATTCTTATAAGATAGTGATTAATTTGAATATAAACAAGCTAAAATTTGCATTAGACATACAAATTTTAGATCTAATTTAAGAATTTTATTAGAGAGCAAAAATTTTATCTTCTGTGCAAAATATGACGTTTATATTCAAATTATTCGATGTCTTACAAGGAATCCTGTAATGCCAATTATATTCGCCTAACTTTAGTCCGAAATATTATTTATTATTAAACCTATAAGCCTAGTGCTTTTCCCCAAACGTTTCTCGGGAAGGTGGGGGGTAGGGAGGGAGGGGGGGGTGACAGTGACATGTTTGACAGTTGGCGCCTGTGGTGTGAAGTATTTAATTGTTAATTTATGACCTTTAGATTGAGTTTTTGTTTTTTGCTTATGAAATTTAATAGAAGTGACCGGGGTGAATTTAATTTGCATTGCTGGAATTCGTATAAGATAGTGATTAATTTGAATGTAAACATAGAAGAGATCACTGAATTGGCCGAGTACCTCCTCAGCTTATCAGCTGATGTTCAAAACAAAATGTGATTTTCGTAAGGATTTCGTTAATCGATTTTTTTTTCGTTAACGGAATTGAAGATTCTTATGGAAGGTAATTCGTTAACAGAAATTTCGTTAACCGAGGCGTTCGCTAACCGAGGGACCACTGTACATGCAAAGTAAAAATAAATGCAGTAAAGTACACTTACTTTGAGGTGTGTATGTAGAAGGCTCCTGGTTGATGATGATGATGGGAATTAGAAGTGGGGGTGGAGGGGAAGGGAGAAGAGAAGGAAGTGGGGGTGGAAGAGAAATCACCCCATGCTTCATGCCGTCATTTCACCCATAAAATTTTAAGTTCACTAGGTGTAATTGAAGATTATTTTCTTTAAATCAACACTGCACTGCACTATATATTGTCAATATATAAAATAAATTTCAGAATGACCAATAATTGTACTGTAAAAATGTAAAAATAGTTATGTTCAAGAGAGCCACAAGCAAGATGTTACCTCCACTGACTAGAGATACAAACTGACGCCTTGCTGGGTGAGTCAAGTGGCTGATTGGCACACCAAAAACTAGTTTCCTGTACTGCAATTATGTTAAATAAGTGTTAAAATTACTAAAAATTTTAATATAAAACTTGGAATATTATTGAAAAGTACAACCTTCTTGATAATTACTCAAATGGGAGCGAATTTAAGCCCTAGAACTGATTACTGTGTTGGTGGACTAATATTCCAGCTGGTGAGCAAGTGAAAACATGTTGACATGATTTTGTAAAAATTTCGTTAACCAAATTTTTTTTCGTAAACCGAATTGAAGATTCTTATGGAAAGTAATTTGTTCAACAAAATTTCGTTAACCGAGGGATCACTGTATATACGGTATATATTTTTTTTTCAACTAACAGCACAATACACAGTAACAGAATGCAGACCACTCTGTTGTAAAGAGGCCCAGCATCAAAGCGAGACATGAACCCCTCCTTTACTACTACCATGTTAAAACCTTCCATACTCACATATAAGTTTCAAAAAGTATAAAATAAAACAAATATTAGTTTCCCATATCATTTAAAGTGTACATTTTCCATGATTATCTTTAAAAAATCTGTAAAAATCAAGAGCCACAAAGAAAAAACACTCATGGCCATAAACAGCTTGATCTAAAGGTAATTGATGGCAAATCCTTAAAACTTAACAATGAATAAGTCCAATTTACTATTCAATTACTAAGCCTACATTGAATTAATTATTCCAACTATGTTACATCAGATGCTCTACATGAGAGAACAAACCACGAAAGATCTTCAAACCTGTTCAATACTTAAAGCTCTAAAAAGCAGAACAATGACACAAAATTTCATCTCCTTTATAGGTTCACATAAACCATGACACAGTTAGATCAATTACAGTAACTTAGTCAAATTCTAATAAAAATAAATGGTACACTTGTATTACATGAACTGTTACCTTAATTTTGTGAAATGTTATCAGAACCAGACAATACAGACTTTCTTAAAAAATATTTCTTTTCAAACAGGTGTAAGCAAGAAATAAAATACAAAACTGCAGAACTTGTAACTAAATTATTAACCTGTTTTGCTCAATCCATGCGATTATTTTCTGCAAGGATTCAGTGCATTACCTCACATATCTAGAAACTTTAACCAATCTCTCACTATCCAGACAAATAAGTAATCATTCCAATTTCACAAAACCAATTAATGTTTAAATAATTCTAAATATATGAGGTTCAACTGTAAAGGTCATCTGAGAGACTAAACAACTTGCTTTTACACTGGACAAACATGTCAGAAGTCGATTGTCACAAGCACAAAGACAGACATGTTACACTCAACTTCTAGACTCTCTTGTGTGTAAAACTAATATTATACAGGAATACATTATCTCTCTGATATATTGTAATATTGTGAGTTGTATATACACAACAGAAAACTGAAGATTGAAGAGTTACAATTTCAAAAGTTAAACCAAGTAATCAGATGAAAAACACAAACTTTGGTAAATATACACTTTGGAAAACCTCGCAACAAATTTGAAGGCACACAAGTGGAATGTGTGGCTTACCCAGGAGGAGTTCCAATATGTCTAGATGAAAATTAATGAATTCCAAAGGTAGAATCTTCAAAAGATGCAAAACTAGATTGTGACAGTATACAATAAACAGAAAATACAATGGCTATAAACAAGGCACAAAATACAGTGTGCTTCACTTCCTTTTTTTTTAATTTCTTAATTTTTATTATCAATGTAATTTTGCACATAACTGGCCACAAATTGATTGGATAGTATGTGGTCATAATTACTGATATAATTTTCTTTGCTTACAAATGACTTCAAAATTAGTTCAAATACTTTTCTTCAAACTAAAAATTAGGTCAGGTGACACCTTATGAGTATAAAGTTGATATCCTCTTGTTAGTCCATCTGTGGATGGGTGGATGGGTTACATCTTGGTGGGTGGTAACATTAACAAATTACACCCTGCTCTCAAAACACTGCTTAGATTTTACCAGTCCATATAAAAGTTACTGATCAACACTTGATTAATCAGAATGAATGTAAGCTATTTACAAAAATCAATATGAAAAAGTGAGAAATAAAGTAATGCAACTTGAAAATCAATTAATTTTATCAGACACAAAAAGAGTTCTAAGATCTGATACACCACTGAGGTCAACAACATTGACTGACTTTACCAGTGAGCAAGGATATGGTAGTATTACCTTCCACCAATTTACACAATTTGCACAGAAAGCCACAACAATGAGCGTCAAGCTTCAGCTGATAAGACTGTGATAATATGGAACTCAAGGACGGATATTGGCAGGTATAGATGTGGTGAACGTTGGCGTCTCCAGTTCTTCATGCTTCTTCATCCTTGTGCCCTGTGAATATGACAAACACTAGAAAATTCTCATATTAAAAGCTCCTGCTGTAGGCTCCAAAGAATACTTTTAGAGGAGTATGTTCTAGGTCTTGAACAGATACAGACAAGTGAAATGGTTGGATACTGCTTTAAGTAAGACAAATCTCCACCCAATAACAATAGTAGTTTCACAGTTCCAAAAGCTAGTATATATTACACTCTTGAGCTGTTCCCTTTCTTCTCAAACCACTTCCGAAGTGACAGTGATACAAGTCTAAAAATTTTGATTTTTCTCAAAATTTGACTAGTGAATCTTAGGGGAATTTATATGACAAGGAATTGGAGTGATTCTTTGATTATTACTGTTGATACCTGAACTTTGATGGTTTAAATCAAGAGTTTACGGGAACAATCAAATATTTTTATTGTTTATTTTTTCAATATTCCCCCATCCAGTGGGTAATGACCTCGAGTTGCCATCACTGTCCTCAAAGGGTTAATGTACTGGTACAGGAATTACTCACTACACACAGTCCAGCTATGTGTATTTTTGTACAGTACAACTATACAAAATTTATAAATAAGTAACATTTTGCATTATATAGTGCACAAAGTATTTTCGTTGATTCACATTTTTTTCCTGTAGTACAAGTTTCAAAAGTTCCACACAAACTAATTTGGACCGCATCAAATTGCTACACACTGCTCAGGTACCATTTTTTTGGCTAACCCAAGGCATCAAATCAGGAACCTGACCTTCATATCAAATAACCTCATGTTGATAATTTTTACCTGAAGCTTTATTATATGAAAAAAAACCTGAAGTTACAAAATTTTTGTGCAAATTTTTTTGCATCAGAAGTGTGGGTTGTGCATAATTTAGAAAGGAGGCAAGCATGTCAACTACACCTAGATTAACCACTCCCTCCACTCAGTGCTTTTATATCAGTGACCTTCTCTTTGTGAGGGAACCTACAAGAAGTTTCTGAAGTGAGATAAACAATATTATAAAGGAGACAAAAATCATCAACTTCAACATCTAAATTTACTTTTTTCATAATGTATCTATGGTGAGCAATTAGTTAAATATGCACACTGGGATGTATACTGATTGATTCAGTAATTATGGCTTATGTATTTAGTGTGGTTAGCTTTGGTTGTAAGATATAAGGTGTCTGAAATGCGGCCTTCAGGAATGCATCTTCCATTCATAATGAAGGTTGGGTCAATTAAGTTAAGTTAATGAACTTAATTTTTACCACTTAACAGATTTTCCCATAGAATACTGCATGAGCCAGTAGAGGTTGTTGAAGCACTGACCTCTCACACACATCCATGTAATCTAACCAGGTTACTTATCTACAGTAGGCTGCTATCTGGCTGTCTCAATTACAAAAAGACTTGATAGTGTTTTGCCAAGCACACCTTTCATTAAGAAAATGTTAAATTTTATAGGTGAAATTAGACATTATTAATCAAATTAATGTAATTGGTTAATTTTTACAGTATTTCACTTGTTTAGTGGTTTCATAATTTATGATCATATACACTTCATTCATTAGCGTTCCAACCCCTAGGATCAATCTTCGGTAAGCTTTGGAGACTTACTTTCTTTCTTTCTTTAGGTGTTTCTTATAAGGTGGGAAATGCGATTGTTAACTTTTCAAATCAACTTAATCTAAATAGAAAATATTCAAAATAGGAGTTAACTTGGTAAGATTTCTAAATTACCTTGACCAGTTAAATTTGAAAGTTATATGAATCAACCCTGCTTGTAACAATTGTAACAATAGAAACAGAAATGACAGTACAATAGTACAGGTGAACCTTACTATATGCTGTACCAGTGCACATCATTTCACATATATGTCAATAATTAATAGCAAATTAATAAAAATAAAAAATAAAATAATTATAATAACCTTAAATAAATACAAAAACGAACAAAATAAATCAAGAGTGAGAAACGATATATGTACATTATGTTTGTTGTGTTGTCCAAGTTAGTGAAACAGTTGAGACCCTGCAATTGTGTGTAAATGAGGCAGAAATTTAGATCAGCAGCCTGGAACTTGGTCACAATTTTCGTGATGCCATATGGTAGCAGGGTAGCAGGGTCTACCATTAGACAACACATTACCGGTATGTTTCCAAAACCTTCCCAGGTGGTAGTACCTCCCTGTTTGGTAGCTGCTTACTACCTACTACTACTACAGGTTGTACCTCTCTAGTCCCTTCCCACTCCCGTGGTCCGGGTGGTAGTACCTCCCTGTTTGGTAGCTGCTTACTACCTACTACTACTACAGGTTGTACCTCTCTAGTCCGGCATTCTGTGGTCCGGAAACTCCCGTGGTCCGGAACGATTTTAGTTTGTCCAATAGGCAGTTTTTTTTTTTTTTTTTTTTTTTTTTTTTTTTTTTTTTTTTTTAGATTTGTAGGAATATTACCTACGCGGACCTTAAGCTAAAATGCTGGTGCATGATGGGAATGAGGAGCAACTTTTAGCTTCAGACATGAAAAATATTTACCATTTACTGCCAGTAAACAATGGAAACGTAAAATATGTACCAATTAGTAATGAAAAGTTGTGCAGTTCCTTCAGCAAATGAAGCTCACCAACTTACAATAGGCTAAATTACCTTACAACGTGTTTTCAGTAGTCTATGTTGAAGTTCTTAGCACAGGCTAACTTATCATATCATATACGGTATCACAGTTCTCATTGATCTACAAAAAATACCGGTAATAAAAACCTTTTTGATATTTCACACTTAATATAATACCCGGTAATCTACTTCAACCTCCTATTGTTTACAACGACGCATGACGCACCACCAGCTGTTGAGTATCAGCTAGACGGTACACGTGTTTTTCGAATTGTTTTCAGTTAAAAAACTGTTACATCACATGTATATTTTACCTTAACTGTGCCTGAATGAATATATTCTCGGAAATAAATAGTAGTTTTGCTGCTATAACGATGTATTTTAACTGAAATATTCCTAAACAACGGACCTATAAAATTGAGAAACAAAAGACTGCGCATTACCCGCGACCCACAACCGCCATCGATGTGCACCACTGTTATTGTTGAAATTTCGTTCAAAACGTATAACTATTTTGTTATACAAGTATACAATTGTAACAATGAGTCGTCCAAAGCTGAGAAAGCTAATAACCCTTGAAACTAAGAAAGAAATTATAAAGAAACGTGAGAATGGAAGAAGCATTGCGAAACTTAGTGATGAATATGGGATGGCTAAATCGACTATATGTACGATTTTGAAGAATAAAGAGGAGTTAAAAACTGTGCAAGTGGCTAAGGGAATCTTTAGACTTAGCAAAGCAAGGTGTAATGTGATTGAAGAGATGGAAAATTTACTCTTAGTGTGGATAAAGGAGAAAGAAATGGCAGGTGGTAACATTAGTGAAGCTATAATTTGTGAGAAGGCTAAACAATTGTTTGAGGACTTTAAAGCCAAGACTCCCAGTGGAAGTGATAGTGCTGTGCCAGTGTTTAGGGGTACCTGCATGCTGAATAACACTAAGGTAAGATAAAGTACCGTATTTTTTACATTTTCCACAGAATTTTTTCAGTGTTAAGCGGTTGTATTTGGGGGCCTGGAACGGATTAATCCTATAACGAACGAATGCTATAACGAACGAGGTTCTGGAACCAATTACGTTCGTTATAGCATACCCCACTGTAGTAGTTTTGCTGAAACGTGATGTATTTTAATGTGAAATAGGATAAAATACATGACGAAAACAAAAGATTTTACCTAACCTTCCGATGTTCAAGAGAAGTTACTCGTTTTTTTTAATAGTTTTTGGTTAAAATACTGTTATATTACAATGGTATTCTACTCATACTGCGCTTGATATAATGCATTCACGGAAATGTAATATTTTTGCTGAAATTACATACGTATTACAGTGGAAAGTGCGATAAAATCGTGACGAAAACAATGACTTTCGCTTTCCTTCGTTCAAAAGATGTTACCGTAATCGCTTTTCGATTGGTTTTCAGTTAAAAAACTGTTGTATTACAATAATATTCTATCCTAATTGACTTGAATAAATACTACGATACCATATTTCTGAATATTTTCTTTAAAATCCTTCTAAATCATTTTCCTTGTCATCGTCTGCAGCACCAAACAGCTTCTCCCAGTCCTCTCCTTGAACAGGGCTAGAGGGTACGTGTTTTTCGAATCGTTTTCAGTTAAAAAATTGTTACATCACATGTATATTTTACCTAAACTGTGCCTGAATGAATATATTCTCGGAAATAAACAGTAGTTTTGCTGAAACGTGATGTATTTCAATGTAAAATAGGATAAAATACATGACGAAAACAAAAGACTTTACCTATGCTTCCGATGTTCTTGAGATGTTATTCGTTTTTTTACTAGTTTTCGGTTAAAGTACTGTTATATTACAATGATATTCTATTCATACTGTGCTTGATATAATACATTCACGGAAATGTAATATTTTTGCTGAAATGACATATGTATTACAGTGTAAAGTGGGATAAAATGGTGACGAAAACAATGACTTTGAAATATAATGCAATATTAGCCCCTAAATCAGTTAATTCGGACAATCAGCTAAAACGGACACCCTTCCCCCCCTATTAGTCCGAATTAACGAGGGTCGACTGTACTTATCTGAATTATTATTATTATTACAGGAGTATTAAATTTTTGCCCCTCAGGCCCCAATGTGGGTCGGTGACCTATGCCCGGGTGGGCTAATCCCCGTAAAAAAAACAAAAACAAAGCCGCGGTAAATTAAGGTTTGTTTACATCCGGCAGTTCAGCTGCTCTCTCTCTCTCTCTCTGCTTGTCTATACAGAGTACAACATTTAACCCTTCAATATATATGAGCAGTAAATAAGTGTTGCTTTCATATTCTTATGTAGAGTAATGACGATATGTTTTCACATGTGCGCACTTACATACGCGCAGTCTCACTTTTTTTTACCATTAATGGTTAGCTACTTATATTGTTCCATTTATTAACATTAAATAACATTACAGGTACTTCAAACAACCATGTTAATTTTTTTTACATTAATTTTACATTAATATGTAGAACCAATCGGTCACTGGTTTTGTAAGCTTTAACATAAACAATGCCGGCAGCCATCTCGTCTCCTCGTGTAAATATTCCATGTATTATTAATAAATTGAATTGTTAATTTTGCACACACAAACATTAATTCAATAAAAACAAATTCAGAAACATTAATTAAAATATATATGAACAGTAAGTAAGTGTTGCTTTCATATTCTTATGTAAAGTAATGACAATATGTTTTCACGTATGCGCACTTACATACGTGATCTCTCTTCTTTCTTTACCATTATCGTTAGCTACTTCTATTGTTCCATTTATTAACATTAAATAACATTACTTAAAACAACCATATTAATTTTACTACAGCTACAACCAAGGTCTTATTTTCTTCAGTTTTATATGTAGAACCAGTCAGTCACTGGTTTTGTAATCAATGAAAACAATGCTGTGTCATTTCCTCGTTTGTTTTAATATTCTACGTATTATTGATGAATTGTATTGCTCATTTTGCACACATAAACATTAATTCACTATAAAAGACATTCAGTAATAAACAATAATGAATCTTTTGTACATAAGAGAAATGACGCTGTTTACACGATTATGCACGTCGTCTGCACGTTGGCGGGCCGTTCAAACCCGTCGAAATTAAAGTTTCCGCCGTCAAAATATATATATATTTTTTTTTTGTGTTCCAATAAAATACATTGAATTAAAAACTCGCGAAATTTGAGAAGCTACTATACGACATTTAACCCTTAAATATGTCTTCAAAGAGACCATGATGCAGAGAAAGTGGTGCTAGTGCTTCCAAGCATAAGCACAAGTCACTATCTATCCAGGAAAAGGGTGAATTTCCATGGTCCGGCACTGGTCAGGTCCCGAGGTTGCCGGACTAGAGAGGTACAACCTGTACTACTAATCCCGGGCATTAGGAACCTTGAGTACAGAGACAGGTTAAAGCATCTTAATTTGCACTCCTTCACACATCCAAGGCATGGCTAATCCCCGTAAAAAAAAAATATATAAATAAAATTAATGTTCATTGGAAAAATAGCTTTACCAAAACAGCCTTCCCTCCAATTAGTCCAATTTAGTGAGGTTCTACTGAATAAGTTACAGGCAACAAACAAAGAAAATGCTCTGACTAGCCACAGAATTTATAATAAATTTTATTTTTACAAAGCAGCATGGGACCAAATTCATTCTGCAAAAAAGGTTTTACCATAAAACTTACAATAACAACATTTATCAATTCTTTTAGGAAGAAGTCACTTTTGAAATTTACAGGTTAGCAAATTTAAACGTTACTCATCTGTCACTATTATTTTGTAAAATTAGTATTTCTGGTAAGATTCAGAATTTTAGTGTAGCTGAATAAGTGACAGGCCACATCATTACTGATCTGACAGTGGTCATAGAATATGACAAATCATTCTTTACAACAAAATAATACTACTGCAAACCTGCTGTTGTTTGTAGTGGTTAATGATGTCCTGATCAGCTGGGCAGGACTGTGTGAAGGCATCCAATTGATACATATGGAACATGTACCGCCAGAGGTTTTCCAGCTCCTCGGGGATCTCAAAGTCAGCAAAGTATTTACCTAAAACAAAAATAACACCACATTCAGTATCAAAATCATGCTTGGATACATCCAAGATACATCATGAATTACTGCATTTTATGGCACTTAAGATGTAATTTTTTGTCTGAAAAATAGCTAAAAAAAAATCTGCCTGCCCCCTATATGTAAAATTGAGGTCTCCCATAAGCTAATGAATCCCCCAGTAGGCTAAATTCTACTTAAACACATTATTATTATTTTCAATTAATTAAAAAATTAAATATTGAAAATATAAAAGCTTGATTTATAACTTCATGTACTGAACTAATACTGTAATGATAACCTTAAATGATTTATGTAAGTAAGGTAGACACCCAACTCCTCAGAGGTAGCCAAGCAGTAGCTATTTCTGAATTCTTACATGCATTACAAACTACTACAGTAATACCATAGCTGCAACATTTATTTTTAAATCTGCAAATACCAGATCTACATGAAGATTTACAGATAACTTTCTTTTCACATTTGCATCTGTTAACATTGCTGGCAGCATTGCAGCTAGGTTAGACTCGTCACTGTAACCACCAGTTACATGCACACACCATCTTACATACATATTGTAAAAACAGTAAGAGAAACAATTGTCCTATGGGCAAACACAAAGGGAATATATATTTCTTTGCACACAAGTTAACTGGCTCAGTGGGGGAGTGGGAGGAGGTGGGGCGTGTGGGGAGTGTTGCTAGGAATCAGCGGAGGTAGCATCTCTGTTGCTATGGTGAACCCGGGAATATAAGCAAATGGCGACTGTGTTAAACATTCATTTGGCTTTTATACTCACAGAAAAGTTGCCAAATAAGACAGAGTCACTCCAATTATAATAGCTCAATTTGATTATCCTTCTCTAGAAGAAATTAGAAATAACTTAATCCTTGTGATTAATCATTTAGAAGCAAAGAATCATAGTCATGAGAAAGGTAAATTAGAGAAGGATAAGGAAAAGAAAATTAAAAAAGTATCCTGGCCCATAAAGCAAGAAACAAAAGTACTGGTGCTCCTGTACTTACGAACGAGTTACGTTCCTGAGGCTTGTTTGTAAGTCCAATTGTTTGCAAGTCCAACTTTACTCTTGTAGATACCAAACATATTGTAAAAAATTAAAAGATTATGGATATTTAGTACAGCTATACCCTTTAATATAGCCTGTGATGATGTTTGTATTTCTGAAAGTTTGGAAGTTGAACATTCTTAAGTAGAGAAGCACCTGAAATTCAAATGGGCCCAGGAGAAATAAGACAGTCAGAGCTTGCAGTTGCTGAGCCTTCTAGTTCCGATTCTGATATCAGGTGCGTGTTCTGTGATGGGGGACATTTGTCAACTAAATGCAGTAAATACCAAGGCCGTCACAGTAGGATTAGGCGCATAGAAGAAAGAGGACGATGTGGGAAATGTAGCTGCAGATTTAAAACTGAAGACTGTAAATATAAATTACATAAAAGTCCTATTTGCAAAAAGGGCATCCATCATTCTTATTTTTGTGATTCAGAACAAAATGTCTGTTCAGTGAGTCCAAGTTCTGGCAGCAAAGTTTCCACTGCACTACTTACAGAGTAACTTATAGTTGTCAAGAGTAAAAGTAAATCCTCAGTTAGGACTCTGTACAACCAAGGATCACAGAAAACCTTTACCTAAGAGATTAGCAGTGGAACTAAAATTAAATCCTTGTGGCAAATTAGATTTGAAGATATCTGGATTTACTATGAGTATTAGGGGGCAGTGAAATTTTGCTCAAAGCTGCACTCTTCAGGCATTGTTCCTTATACATATCTAAGACTCCATGCCAAATTTGAAGCTGATATGTCGAGGTTTAGTCTGCCGCATTTTCTACTGAAATTTTTAAATTTACCTACAGTACTAGCCAAACAGCCGCTGTGGCGGTGCAATGTTCTGTTCAGTGTTTATCAACTTTTTTTCATATCTCTTATTTCATTTAAGTTGTCTTGTTGCAGATGAGTATGGTGCTATGTCTATATTGATTATCAGCCTTTTCTCATTTCATTTCTCAATGTTGTGTTACTGTACTGTAATGTAGGGAAGACCGCCACTCGTGTGATGATAAAGAATGAGAAGACCGAGAAATGGAGTTCGAGGATGATGGTGAAAGATCATTATGTCATCATGGTTGAGCCTGGCAATGAATATCTCACACATGTGACTCCCAAGACTGGACACGGAAAGCAGATTGCCAAAACTATTCACGAGTTTCTGGTAGAGAAAAATCTAACCCAGCAGCCCATTGTGTGTGTTGGTTGTGATGGAACCAATGTAAATGTAGGATCAGAAAATGGAGTCATTCATCATCTTGAAATGTTACTTGGTCACCCGCTCCATTATTTCATATGTCAGCTTCACGGAAATGAGCTGCCTTTCCGCCGGGTTTTTAATCACTATGATGGTAAACCAAGTGGTCCTGAGCATTGGCGTGGTCCCATTGGAAAGTAGATCAAGGAGTCTTTGGCTGAGCTTCCAGTTGTCGCCTTCCAGCCAGTCAGTTTCCCTGATTTCCCTGTGTTTAATGATGAAGTGGAGAAAGATCTGTCCTGGGATCAGAAATACCTGTATAGGATTTGTAAAGGAGTTATCACAGGTGTTGTTGAAGATGACTTGGCTGCTATTGAGCCAGGTCCTCCCTGTGTGTCAAGGTGGAACACCTTATGGAGTAGAATCCTCAGGCTGTATGTAGCAACATCAAGACCCAGCCATGAGTTGAAAAGAATTGTCATTACAATAATAAAGTTCAGTGCTCCAATGTGGTTTTACATCAAGATACACCCTTACGTAACACACGGCTCAAGGAACGTATTCCAGTCCCTGCTATATATGAAACACCTGAATAGTGAGGAGGAGACGATAGTGAAGAAGGCTGTCCAGAGAAATGCATACTTCGCCCACACAGATCAACTTCTTCTTGGTATGTGTGCAGATGAGGACATGACTGTTAGAGAAAAAGCTGTCTCAATGATAAGAAAAATTAGAGAGGAGAATCAGCAAAAGGAAGAATGCACTGGCAGATCTGAAGAGGAGGAGGAAGATCCTGATGCTGCTGTTGACGAGAATTTGCTGTTGACGAGAATTTGTTAAACTATACTGATGAGGAGGGTAAATGATGGAGATGGGAATGAGGATGTGCCTCCTGTAGTCAACATTAGAAAGGTGGTGACTCCGAAACTAAAGTGGCAAGCAAAAAACTATCATTCCATGATTAACTGGAGGAATGAACTCAAGACTGAGCCTCCTTACATTGCTTCTCTGTCAAATCTACAGGTTAATGACATTCTTGAGACACCATTAGTGGTGCCCAAGTGGCCAAACAGCACTCAGGCGGTCGAGAGAGGCATAAAAGTGATGACTGAAGCTTGCACTGAAGTGACGGGATACGAATCGAGAGATGGATATATTAGGCAAAGATTATTGTCTAGGAAAATGATGCCAAGGTTCCGCACAAAAAAGAATTTCAATATGAACTTGTAATGATTTTCTATACGGTGTACCTGTAAAATAACATGTGAATTAAATTGATGTCACCCATGTAAAATTTATCATTATCCTGGAAAACATTAAATGACACCTAATTTTTGGTATACTGTACACTAAAAGTTGACAAAAAGTCGTTCGCGATGCGGCAGGGTAAGTATGCATGAAATGGCATGAAATTTTGCACAGGTGTTTGTTACAGCCATACAAACGATGCCTGAAAAGTGCAGCCTGCAACTCAAATAAAAGTGTTTTTTCCCTGCCCCCTAACGAGTATAGATACTCAATCTTATGATTTAGTGAAATTTACTGTAAAAGGTGGCTTGAAGTATGTTAGATTGAGTGCTCTGATGCTAGACAATCTTCCTAAAGATACAAGAATGGATGGACTTGAGGAATGCCTTGAATATGTGAAGGACAATAAAATCAAGGTATCTGACCCTAACCTAAAGAACTTAGTTGATAGTGTTGATTTGTTGGTTGGGGCAGAACACTATAACCAATTAGTATACAGTATGATTAGACCGAAGGGTGTAAATTTTCTAAAGACTAGAAATAGATTAGTTTTTTATGGAAATACACCAGATAGATTCGTCAAGGACGCCAAGAGCTCTCAGATAGCCTTAGTACCATATATGGAGGTGTATACGTCCATCTTTGAAGCGAAATTTTTAGTGTCCAAAGTTAGGGGGCTGACTTATACGATGGGTAGTAAATGTTGACCTCTAAAATCATGACTGTAAGTGAGAGTTTTTCGTATTACAGCCTTCATATTTACCTTTAACATAATTGCTCTATTTCTATTATGATGAAATAAAGTTTTTCTCGGGAGTTTTATTTAAACACCTTTTGTTATTGATGGCTGTGTGTGGACTGTGGTGGAATAAACTGGAAGTCAACTGAGCTCAGTGTTGTTGTGATTGTTGGGTCAGTCACTAATGACGTTGTGTGACGTCATGTATAGAGTGGCTTGTTTGACTGTTTATGTATATGTTTTGATGGTTAATTTGGTCCTTCACAACACTTGACAGCTGCTGGAGTTGGGGAGTCAACTTATCCAGTAGGTACAGTTTTACCCCGCTTAACGCGCTTTCACTTTACGCGTTTTCGCATATACGCGGTGCCTTGCCAAAGCTGAACTTTCACTTAACGCGGCATTTTTCATCATATACGCGGTGAGTGTCCGGCTCGAGAGCTATTTTTAGATTCGCACCACCCCCCACCCGCCACCCTGCCTGACTGCCTGTTTTAGCTCATAAAATTCATACAAATTACCCAGCCAGAATATAATTTACATTGCTGGAATTCTTATAATTTGGTGATCATTTTGAATATAAACAACATATATTTTGCATTAAGCATACAATTTTTAGATAAAAATATTTCTCTAGGTAACTATGTTATCTTTTGTCCAAAATATATGACATTTATATTCAAAATATTCCTGGTCTTACAAGGAATCCAGCAATGTCAATTATATTATCCTAACTTTAGTTTGAGGTATTATTTATTAAAATTTAGTGGTTATCCCACACATCTCCTTGGGACGGTTGGTGGGGGGTGGGGGGTGGGGGGGAGGGAGGGACCGACCGACCGACCATCTGTTACCCCGTGAAGAATTATTTTTTTTTTTATTAACTGAAGATATTTGTTTTAGCTCATAAAATTCATACAAATTACCCGGTCAGAATATAATTTACATTGCTGGAATTCTTATAATTTGGTGATCATTTTGAATATAAACAACATATATTTTGCATTAAACATACAATTTTTAGATAAAAATTGTTCTCTAGGTAACTATGTTATCTTTTGTCCAAAATATATGACATTTATATTCAAAATATTCCTGGTCTTACAAGGAATCCAGCAATGTCAATTATATTATCCTAACTTTAATCTGAGGTATTATTTAATACTAAATGTTATAAACTCTGGAAGGGAGGATTGGTGGGGGGTGGGGGGAGGGTTGGGACTGACCACGCGGTTGGAAGAGGGGGGGAAGGCAAGGTGGGGTACTTTGATTGACAGATAGTGTCGAAGAATATTTTTTTTTTTTTATTAACTGAAGATATTTGTTTTAGCTCATAAAATTCATACAAATTATCCGGCCAGAATATAATTTACATTGCTGGAATTCTTACAATTTGCTGATCATTTTGAATATAAACATCATAGATTTTGCATTAGACATACAAATTTTTGATGTAAAGTTTATTCTGAGTAAATATGTTATCTTTTGTGAAAAATATATGACATTTATATTCAAAATATTCCTGGTCTTACAAGGAATCCAGCAATGTCAATTATATTATCCTAACTTTAGTTTGAGGAATTATTTATTACTATACCTGGTTTTCCCCCAAAAATTTCTCAGAGGGAAGAGCCAGTGAGTGTAGTGTGAGAAGAGGGGGAGGGAGTCGAGTCCATTATTTGAATGGACATTAACTTGGCGACTGTATTTCTCTATTTCTCTTAAGTATTAATTGTGTGCATGTACCATCATAAAATTAAGATGCTATTTTTACTACAACATAGTTATTTGTCGTCAAAAAGTGGAGTTTGGGGGTCGGGCTGGGTTCTATTGGAATTAATCCCATATGTTCTGTTATTCACTTAACGCGGTTCAATTGACCGCGTTAAGTGGGGTACAACTGTATACCTCTATGACCAATTTTTTTTGCTTGAAAAGGTGGGTCGACTTATACGCCAGGTCGACTTATATGCCGCCATATACGGTAACTAATAATTGTCAGAAGCCAGAAATCCGTAAGTATCTAAACTATGGGAATTAGACACCATTGGGATAAAAGCCAAGTCTATGAACCCAGAATAATGGTTTGTGTTAGAAAATTATAGAAAACCGTAAAGTATCATGATAACCAGTATTGGGTTGGGCTGCCCTGAAAAGTGAACAGTAAATTTCTACCTACAAATTTTAACCTGGCTAAAGGTAGATTAAAATTAAAATTTAAGAAATTAAAGTCAGCAGGGCTTGTCAATCAATACGGTGAAATTATTAAAGACCAGTTAGACAAAAGATTTATTGAGAAAATGTCAGAACCAATTGTAACTGATAAGACTCATCACTTACCTCACTTAGCAGTCAGTATTTAGAGAAAGTAAAACCACTCCTATATGCATAGTTTTTGACTGTAGTGCAAAAATAAATCCTCAATCTACTGGCCCTACATTAACAGAGAAGCTAGGAGATATTCTTTTCAAATTCAGAACCAATAAATTTGCCTATGTGGCTGACATTAGTAAAGCATTTCTGAGAATTGGCTTACAAGTGGAAGACA